AAAATGGTCGACCACAACCGTTTCAACACGTATTCACCTAAAGTGTGACTTGCAGTAAGGTGTAACACTGACAACACTCTTAATATGACCACAATCGTGGTTACAGAAGCCGTAATGAGACTGCTTTGTTCTTGATATTCACACCGTTCAATGAATCCCCACTATTGTTGACATGCAAGGTGTGTGTTTCAAACCCACCACTAGTAAAGTTGTAAGAAAAACTGGAAACATGAACTAAATCTGTAAGTTTTAGAGTCTTTGATTTTTCGTGTCGGAACTAGGTGTGTTTGGCTAAAATTGTTTCTATGACCAAGTGAATCTATGATATTTCGTTGTTCTGTATCCACTAAATAACATAGATGGGCGTCTTTAATTTAGTGTTACTATCACTTATCAGCCCGTTAATCACTGACACCTCTCATAAAAACGTGAGACCAACGTTTATGTTGTATGTCAGATAATATGTATTGTTTTCAAACAATGCGTATAGACAATGCATTGTTACCTAATTCACGTCGGTTGTGTTGTCGATCACACAATGCCAGTTAAAATTTGCTTGGACGCACTAGCGTAGCTACCAACACGGCACTTAGAAAACCAGTTGACGACAGTGAGGTAATAGCCTGAATCTTTACACGATTGTTGGGCACATAACGTTACAAGGCAGTCATGGGCCAGGATGTATCCAAACACTCGATGATTGGTCTGCTGATGAAATGTCCTCACAGAAACATAAGGTAGGTGCAATTCTGTGTACATGTTTACTCTGTGCACTGCGAATAATTCTATTATAGAGAGTGGAAGCGGACGAAGATATTTTCAGATAGAAGCAGAATTGGTCGAGATCCTCATTCAACAATTGTTTTCATTTACAACCGTGTTTACATCAAAGTATGTAAAGTGTACATCTATTTTGGATTGGAATACCGTTTCTAATTTAAGAGTTATGTAATAGTCTATACCGTCAGTAACGATCTTTTCAGTCTCCGCTTGTATTCGGATAACAAGAATGCATGAGGTTTGTATGACTAGTAATGTTACGCCAACTCGATATTTTTTGTATCGAATTTTAAATTATATTAAACTATTATATAATTTAAGATGGTTAGATCAGCGAGCTAAAAGAGCTCCATGGTTAGACCCACTATACATGGTAGCTTCTATGTGAAGTTAATTAGATTGAGTTAGAATGAGCAGTTGTTAGAATCCTGTATACAAGACACCCACCATGAATATTGTACGTGAACAAATCCTGGTCATTTTCTTTGATAAATCACTGATTGTATTTTCGTAAGCTTGTTGATAAACGTTCTACGCGTATCAAAAAAAAAAAAAAACTCACTATATCATTGCATACACAATGAGAACGAATTCATCTTTCTGCTCAGACCATTAACTGTGAGGCGGGAATCCTTTCAGATTCAGAAAGCGTTCTTAGAGCAAATTGGTGAATTTTAAATAGGGTAACTCCATATACGGTGTATCATTTACCCATTCAGCCTGCCAAGTGGTACACGTGTATTGTGTAAAATCTGATCTCCGTCAACTTGATTATACTAGATGTATACGTGTACATCGAGGTAGACTTGCATAAATTGCGAAAGCCTAGTTATTGCGAAATAAACAAGACCGGTGACAATCATCACCGGTGTCACGAGAGGGCGTCTTCAAGGGTCACAAGTCCCTTGTTTATTTCCTCGACCCGGTATCCCGGCTTTCGCGGGAACACGGGTTTTGCCATTTACCCACTCCTAGGATATTATCGAGGTTACAAAGTTATCTAATCTCTGTAAAAGTCAGCATTTTAACTGCGTAAATATGAGACCCATTACCACGCTTCATTTATAATGCCATTGAGGAAACTCATTCCATCACATCATGGAGCTAAGAAAAGATTAGCGCAATGATCAGATAATTGTCATGGTAATTTACGTCACACAAAAGTCTCAGATTTATATATCATAACAAAAATAAAAAAACTTGTATTTTTCAGAATCGCACCAGAGGACATTCCAGTGAAAGATATCGCGAGGCTTGAGTCACATTCCATTCATTCTGATGCACCACCAGTCTCTCCATTCGTAACCGGGATGCAGGGCCATATACTGTCAACACCTAACACAGGGGGGAAAGTTGTGTCTATGAACAGCACTAACGCAACACAGATTTTGAACAGCAAAGTCACTGACATCACACCAATTAGAGGCCGAGTTGTCTCTTCATCCAGCACGTTGACTAACGTCACGCGATTTACAGAGGGAAGTGACGTCTCCTTGAACAGCACATTGACAAATTTCACACCATTTTCGGAAGGGAATGACGTATCTTTAAACAGTACACTGACTAGCATCGCGCCAATCAGGGGACGAATTGTTTCCGCATCCAGTACTTTAACAAACGTCACACCACTTTCAGTGGGGAGGAATGTTACTTTGAACAGCACTTTGACGAACGTCACAAGATTGACAGAGGGGAGCAATGTCTCATTAAACAGCACATTTACTAATGTCACACCATTTACGGAAGGAAGTGATACATCTTTAAACAGCACACTGACTAACATCACGCCAATCAGAGGACGAATTGTCTCTGCATCCAGTACTTTAACAAACGTCACACCATTTTCAGTGGGGAAGAATATTACTTTGAACAGCACTTTGACTGACGTCACACCATTAGACCCGGCAAGTGATGACGAAAAGCTACTCGACCGCAATTGCTGTAAAGCCCTGAACTTCGACGATACAGAAACTGGGTGCGCCCTTTACAACTGGTGCCAAAGTTTGGCTGATGTCGGTGATTCAGGCCACTTCTCCAGCGACGAAGAGGATGAAATCAGACAAAATAAACTGTCTGATTTGGCACACATTGAGAAATTTTTGACATCTGACGGAGAACTCGAGTTGATCACGTCGTGGTCTATGTGGTACAGTGACAGTGAATCGGATGGTGATGTCTCGCGCTGTCATGGCGACGCAGAACCTACCCGAAAAGATAAAATTTAAATAATAGAAACTTCACTAAATACATTCACGCTTGGACATCGTGTGGTGTCGAGATGTGACAAAAGAAATCGAAACACAGACAATATCAGTCAACTGAACGTAGAGAAAAGGCTGAATACAGAGAAAACAAAGCACAGACAATTTCACAAGCGTGATGTGAGACAGTGTATTAATACTCTAACGAATGTGCTACGCCATGTTACACTTTTGCCAATGGCTTCGTCGCGTACATGCGAACCTTGGAATCCTCGAACAGAACCATGAAATTTTAAATATATGTGAATCTTTTTTTAATTAAACTACATTCCCTTGTCCAACCATCGATTGTACGTGTGATAGTATATGGTGGTGACCTGTTAATAAATTCTATGTGTTGCTAAGTGTATATATAAGTAAGTCTACGAGTCATGTTAATTTTGTACGTGATACTATTTATACTGATAAAAAAATTATTTAAACATTAAAGTGAGTCAATCGGGTGCGTCCAACCAAATACCTTTCTTACTCATCATTGCACACACTCACAACGCAATGGGATAATGACGTCATTGTAAAGCCACCCCGTCATTCAACCGAATATTCTGTACCCGTTCCTGTGTGAAAATACTCGAAGAACTCTAGTAAGAAAATAATGGTTTCATTTATGTACACACAGTCACAAATGCGAAAAAAGCTTCATTCCCAATTCTTTACTGACGCCACACTTTCTAACTTGCAACGTGAAAGTATTAGTGTATTGGGCTAAGTTCTCACGCTGGGGAAAGCTCCGTAAAACTTTGAACCCACTGGTGAAAAACGAGAGTGCCTAATTTACTTTACCGTGCGGTACCATCATACATTTAAATTTCAGATAATGACAAATTTGTTACTTTACATTGTTTACGGATATTGTGATTTGAAATAAACATGATTTCGGCGATAATATAATCACCATTATTTCGTTCTTCATTGTTACAGTAGGATACCCGTATGTCCCGCTGTCGAGAACAAGTTAGTAAGGAGGAATATCATACCCTGAAAATGCAAGATGTACCAAACGCTTAAACGACTAATACAGGAGCAAAACATACTATACTACTTTGAACTTGGTTGATTTAAACGCATTAAAGTTCTGTAATAACTGTGGTGTAAATCGAATTCATTTTTCCAAAACTACTAGTATTTCGTTGCGCCCTCTAGCGGCGAAGCGC